TTTATTGTTTAAATGTATGAAAGAAATAATTTCAGAAATATCTAAAAAGAGAAATTACTAGTTATTTGGTGTCGGCTTTCCTGACGATGGTGTCCGGCGCCATCACGACCCTTGGTGGATATTGGATCATGACAAATAGACAACAGATTTATATAATTCCATTGCATCCATGTTAATTGCTTTAAAATGATTCTTTCTTCTTGTATATATATTTTATAATAAATTTAATTCTTGTTCTGTCACATAAATAATTGACTGAAGATTTACGTGCAACACACATACATAGAGACTAGTACTTTATTAAAAGCACAAATGTCTCAACCCGAATTTTCCACCCTCGGGAGTCGTGATGGCACCTACTAGTGAGAGCTAGGCAAGACAAATTTAATTACTTTTTCATTAATAACATAATCCCTTTTTAACAATTATCGGCAATAATATAAAAGCAACGAAATTAAATAATAAGCGGAAGTCTTAAATTATAGAAAACTGAATAGAAATNGCGGAATAAGTAATAAGCGGAAGTCTTAAATTAAAGAATCTGAACAACAATGCAGAAAATCAACATAAACCTCTACCCAAGAACTGGTGTCACATACTCACGAACTACTAAGAGTGCTAAACACAACCGTCTGAAGGAAAATATAACTGTTTGTCTCGAAATACATGAGATAACAGACTGAAAGAAAAGATAGAAGAGACGCCGGGCCTGCGAACGCCTGCAAGGCTACCTCGGTGTCTCGCTGGACTGAAGGCTAACTCCCGCGCTACTGCAGCTGCTGTCCAACACCTGGATCTGTGCAAAAGAGCACAAAGTGTAGTATCGGCACAACCGACCCCATGTGCTGGTAAGTGCCTAGCCTAACCCCGGCGAAGTAGTGACGAGGCTAGACCGGACTACCACATAAACCTGTGCTGTTATATATACATATACAGCGGAATCGAAATACAGAGACAAGTAATCAATATGGGAAGGGAGGGGGAGCATGCTAAGGAAAAATAATAATTTCAAGTAAAAGTCGTACAGCAACGAAGGAATTAACACAACTCAGACATTAATAAAGAGACAGAAAGCAACAAGTGCACGGCATCACCCTTCATGCTTTTACTCTCATCCTCACCAAGCAATGATATAATAAAATGTGCACGGCATCACCCTTCGTGCTTTTACTCTCTTTCCTCACATATAATCAATAGAATCGGCACGGAATGGTACATCGTGCGGCGCGACATCACCCTTTGTGCTTTTACTCTCTTTCCTCACCATAAGCAAACAATGCACGGCATCACCCTTCGTGCTTTACACTCTTTCCTCACAATAAACAAACAATGCACGGCATCACCCTTCGTGCTTTAACACTCTTCCTCACCCAAACAACAATCACAAACAAGGGGGCAAGAGAATGAACAAAATAATAAAAGAAATCCCGGCAAGGAAACACAATTAAATAATTAAATTCCGGCAAGGGTACAACATCAATAATCTCAACATTCCGGCAAGGAAAAATTATCAATAAACAACAATATCCCGGAAAGGGAATAATTTAAATACTCTTTCTCTTCCTCTCACTTTTATTTCATATCTCACTTTACCACTTGAGCCAATGCTCCAAAGGGTTCAACCATTTCATAGATATTCACAATTGAAATATAACTTGAGCCGATGCTCCTCGTTGTTCATAGGTCACAATTTCCTTTCACAAGCTTTTCACAACAAATAGGAATCATCACTAAGGCAAGGGGCATATAACGAAATCAAGATATTCACCATTTAAAGACCCACGGTCATGCTAGACACCAACGTATAGATACTCGTCACCATGCCTATACGTCGTACTCAACAAGAAGCAATTTAGCAAATAAGACTCAACTCCTAGTCCCTCAGGCTAGGGTTAAACCAAACACTTACCTCAACTTCCGCGGCCAAATCAATCCACAACAACCGCTTTCCCTCTCGAATTCGGCTCCAACTCAATCAAATCTATTTAATAATGACTTTATAATATCAATATATGCTAAACAAATCAAACCCAATGCCTAATTATAGATTTCCAAGCTTTCTTCCCAAAATCCCAAAAATTGACCCCGGGCCCGCTTGGTCAAAAGACGAGGTTCGGACCAAGTTCATATCCCGCATTCACCCACGAGCCCGAATGTATAATTTGTTTTCAAATTCGACCCCAAAACAAGGTCTAAATCAAGAAAATTCAAAAAGCCCTAACTCTACCCATTTCCTCCAATTTCTACCCTAAATTACATGTTTTAGGCTTAGGAATTCAATAGATATTGATGAAAAATGAAGAAAACGAGTTGAAATCTACTAACCCAAGAAGTGTTGGTGAAGGAGAGCTTCAATGGATGCCTAAGGACCTTGGAGAAGAAGGAGTTCGTGAGTGTTAATGAAAATCCCGTAACTACACTGTTCTGGAAATTAAAAATATAACCGGGCAAAATTGCCCTTCGCGTTCGCGACAGGCTGGTCACGTTCACGAAGGGTAGCACTTACAGGCCATCGCGATTGCAGAAAGGTTATCGCGAATGCGTAGAATAAAAATGCGGGGGTTCAGAAGTTGCTCTATGCGAACGCGTGGGACTTCACGCAAACGCGATGGAGGAGTCCTGGACACTACGCGAACGCGGGGTTACTAGCGCGAACGCGAAGGAGAAAGAAGGTTGAGCCCCCCCAGGGTCAATTGACCCTACGCGAACACGTAGCCAATGCTGCGAACGCGATGAAAGGAAAATGGGAAGCTTCGCGAACGCAGAAGATGCATCGCGAACACGAAGAAGAAATGGACCTGCAACTGCTGAAGCCAAAATTTGCAATTTTTCTAAGTTTGAAACCACTCCGAAATACCTCAGAAACACTCCTCCCGAGCCCTCGGGGCTCCTAACCAAACACATGCACTAACTCAACAACATCCTACGAACTTAACTGTGCGATCAAATCGCCAAAATAACATCAAAAACAACGAATCAAACCTCAAAATCACTAGTTTTTCCTCAAACCTCATTAACTTTCAAATTTAGAACTTAAAGTCCGAAACACGTTAAACGACGTCCGATTTCAACCAAACTTTACAGAAACATCTTAAATCACATATAAGACCTGTACCGGGCGCCGGAACAAAAATACGGGCCCAATACCAACACGTTCTAATCAAATTTTATTTCAATTTTCCTTAGTAATTTCAGAAAAATAATTTTACTCAAAAATTCATTTCTCGGGCTTGGGACCTCGGAATTCGATTCCGGGCATACGCCCAGGTCCCATATTTTTCTACGGACCCTCCGGGACCGTCAAATCACGGGTCCGGGTCCGTTTACCCAAAATGTTGACCGAAGTCAAATTTACTCATTTTAATATCAAATTTTAGCATTTATCACATAATTTCATATTTAAGCTTTCCGGCTACGCGCCCGAACTGCGTACGCAATTCGAGGCGACTACAAATGAGGTTTTCAAGGCCTCGGAAGCACGGAATGAGTAAGAAAACAGGTGATGACCCTTTAGATCGTCACAACAAAGACCCTTAGCGAAATGTCGTTCGCATCTACCCTCTAAAAATTAATTTCATGCTAGACAAAATAGTCATATATTTATATACCCTAATATTTAAGTGTGTGAAATCAATTAAATTTTTCCTTATTTAAAGAACCCTAATATTTAAAAATTAAAATCACCTAAGAACTTTTATATCATTAAGATTCTGATCCTAAATAAGGGATATCCACGTTAATCTAGAATTCTTTTACTGTACATTGCAAGATGCAAAACTTTGACCAAATAAAGGACTTGGTATAGCTAGAATTTTGGGGTAGCAACTGACACAGAGATACCTTCAGCGTGCAGACGTAAGTATTTTTATTCTTTCTTACAAATTTTTCAGTTCTTTATCTTTTTGGTTACATCTTCGATTCTTTTTCCGATAATAGATTACTAAAAACATGGTAAAAGAATTTATGGATCATCATTAGCTCCTATATCACGGGAGAATTTATCAAAGAATTATATTATATTTAAAGCACAACCCTTTTTAGTAAAATATTGTTCGTTTTTTTACACTTTAAAAATTATTTTACACTAGACAGAATTATAATTTAATTATTTTTTAATATTGAAGAAAATCCACAAACACAATATTGAAAATAATTCATATAGTATTTCGTATTAGTTAATAAAGAACAAGAACAAGTTGCATTGCTCGCAAGAAAAATAAAAAAGCATCTTGTGAGTTAGCTGACCTGTTGTGTCTCATAGAATGAACACAAGAATACATATGAACATATTACTCTTCAAGAAAATTTTCTAAAAAAGCTCTTAAATCTTCAAAGGTTATGTGGTCTAACTAAAATTAAAACGGAAGCATGATAATTTATAAAGTTTAAGCAATAAAATAATTAAATTGAGATAAATTTCAAGTTGAATATATTAACCGAGATAGGTTATGACCTTTTGTGGGGTAAAGTTCCTTTCTGTATTGAGTTAGTTAAATAGGATCGACATTTATCATTTCAAGAGTTTACATTTTCTCTTTAACTTTTATTTCTTAGTCAAACACAATTTTTTATATAATATTTATGAATTTTTTCAAAAAATTTATTTTCGTTCAGACAGGATTCACGCGCAACACGCGTGTAGTAAGATTAGTAGTTATAAAAAAGGAGAGACAGAGAGATTTTCATAGGATAGTGGTGGTTTAAGAGGGCTTTTCTTGAGATATTAAGGTCGAGGGTCATAGTTTCTTGATGCAGGGTTACCCCACCAATGGATTATAGGAAGACAAAAGCCACTAAGAAGATGTGGGACCCGATAATTCTACCTATAATAGGGCCCACAACCTTACCGGCTTACCTTTTGGTCTGGTGTATTAGACTATTAGTCAATTTGATTTCATTCTGCTTTTTCTCGATCTCTCTTTTTTCATAAAAATTGTGTAAAGTCCTCTATTGGCCATGATACCAAACCTTTTCATGCATTTTGGACCCAATATATTCTGTTCCTAACCACTGCATATAAATCATCGTATTTCCTCCCTTCCCTTTTTACCTCTCTTCTTCAATAATCTTCCAACCCTCTTTTCTACACTCACATCAGTTGCTAACTATCTATTTTAGGAAATCAAATTAAGCTGATACAAGGCAAATATTCCCTTCTCTCTCTAGCTATAAGCTCCATTTGTGACACAAAAGATGAATATATCAGTGAATGGTCAATCACAAGTGCCTCCGGGTTTTCGTTTCCATCCAACAGAGGAAGAACTTCTTCACTATTACTTGAGGAAGAAAATTGCTAGCGACAAGATAGACCTTGACGTAATCGGCGAAGTTGATCTCAACAAGCTCGAACCATGGGACATTCAAGGTGAGAACGACCTTCCTCAAGAAGTTGTTAATATGTATATTAATGTACTCCCTCCATTCTTATCCATTCCCTCTGTTTCAATTTATGTGAAGTTATTTTTCTTTAGTTCGTGTCAAAAATAATGACTTATTTTCACATTTGGAAACAATATACCTTTATGCAATAAATTATAGTCACACAAAATATACATACCTCATTTTATACCAAAAGTTCAAAAAATTTCTCTTTTTCTTAAACTATATGCCCAGTTTAATAGGTTCCCATAAATTAAAACGGAGAAAGAATGTCTCTATTTTATATTTTAGTCTAAAGATTGACCGTACCGTTTTTTAAATTACTGCCAGAGAAGTGCAAAATAGGATCGACGCCACAAAATGATTGGTACTTCTTCAGTCACAAGGACAAGAAATATCCGACTGGGACTCGCACAAATCGTGCCACTGCTGCGGGGTTTTGGAAGGCTACAGGTCGGGACAAAGTAATATATGGCAATTGTAAGAGAATAGGAATGCGAAAAACCTTAGTCTTCTATAAAGGACGTGCCCCTCATGGTCTGAAATTAGATTGGATCATGCATGAGTATCGTCTCGACGACAACAATACTCCCCAAGATGCCGTCAACTTTTGTGTACGTACCCCAATTTTGTTTGTTGTAGTATGTAACCTGTCGTATTGAATTTCACTTTTTTACATATTGTTTCATGTAACCTAATACATATCTTTATAGTGACCTGATAATGTAAAGAACTGAACTGCTTATGTACATAAACTCGTTTTATTTTCATATCCAGGCCTCCGAATCAGCTGCTCAGGAAGAGGGATGGGTAGTCTGCCGTGTTTTCAAGAAGAAGAATTACCATAAGGCTCTTGAAAATCCTCAAAGCTCCTCTGTTGTCTCTAGAACTCTTATTCAGAACTCAAACACCGATGGCGTACTTGATCAAATACTCGTGTACATGGGAAGGTCATGCAATAAAGAACATGATCAAACCAAACACATGACCAATATCCAGCAGTTCAACAACAATGAAAACATTCAATTTGATACTAATATGCAAATCAGCAGCACTGGAATTAGTGAAGGGCGCAATTTCTTACACCTTCGCGAGCTGGAGAATCATCGTGAAGTTCATCAAGATTGCAGTTTCGATGAGATCATGTCATCAACAGGAACCGATCAACATTATTCTTGCATGAGTAATTACCACGAGGAGCGCGATATAAAAGCCGACTGGGTAGCCCTAGATCGCCTAGTGGCTTCTCAACTTAATGGCCATCTCCAAACATCAAGCAACAACTTGTACTTTCCTCTATCTCATGAGGCAAAGCTAACACAGAATGATGTTGATGACGATGTTGAATTTTTTACCTACGCGCAATCATCACCATTAAGCCACTTGTTGGTATAAATCAAATTATATACTACACCAAACTTAGATAAACTAATATATATTACTACTATATCCAGTTAGAACTTAGAAGTATGCACGTGCATAGTTCAAGGAGTCCAGATAATAGCACCTATTTTGAGTGAGATAACGATACTACTTTTTCCTTTTGTTCAGATTGATTATGAGCCGTTCATATTTTCTTTGAAAGGGGACATAATCAACTGGATTATCTTTTCCTAATAACTTTGTCCCCTGTTTGATCATTATATTTTCTATACACAAAGATACTCTCGTTCATGGCTTTCGGTTGATGATTTGGTCATATTTCCCAATTATATCATGTGTAGTATATATTTTGTTCATGTAGCACAGATTGGTCATGTGCACAACGATAAATTGTTAGATCTATACAGAAAATAGTATTAAATCTACTAAATCATTAAACTAGTCCAGATAAACTATTAAATTTATAATATACAAACAGATAAATGTTAGATCTCCAAATAATAGGGTAGGTGTGCACAAAGACAAGTAGCCGTGTTCAGCATGGATAGGTACTGTCACGACCCAAAATTCACTAAGAGTCGTGATGGCGCCGGACACCACTGTCAGGTAAGCCAACACCAAGAAGTTAATTAAATTCCCACTTTTAGTATTTATTGAAATCATTTCTTTTATGCATTAAACAATAAACAATGAAATCACTTAAATAAAATGTTGTCTTTAATAAACTTAATATTGAATAATCCCATAAACATCCTAGAACCTGGTGTCACAAGTGCATGAGCTAATTCTAGGAAATCAAATGAAGTACAATAACTGTCCGGAATACAAATCGGACAGAAGGTAAATACTATACACTGAAAGAGATTATGTCGGCTGCGGGTCGCCTCGAGAGATGCAGCTTACCTAAGTCTCCGTATCATCCATGCTGCTACGCCTTAGGCCGCTAGAGGTACATGTACCTGTGCAACAAAAATGCACAACAAGTGTAGCATGAGTACAATAACAACGTGTACTCAGTAAGTATCCCGTCTAATCTCGAAGAAGTAGAGACGAGAGGTCGACTTCGACATCTAGTGGTCCAATAATAATACATCAACAATATAGTAAATTGAGGATTTTAATAAAAATGGATGCAACTCAGTAGCATGAGGCAAGTAAACAATTCTTTCGTGTATAGGAAATTTTCAAATTCATTTTTATCATTTATACATTTATCTCAGGCCAGGGAGAACAAATATCAACATCTATACATTTCAAGGCAAGCAACACAAGCATGCGCAAATCATGCCGAGGTCGTACGGCCCGATCCAACAATATTTAAACTGTACATTGCCAGAGGGTCGAATGGCGGGAACCATAGGTGCATCTATTTAATCTACTGAGGCGTTCGGCCCGTTCCACAACAGATAACACATTCAAACAGTCAAATCAAGAATTCATCAAGGAGCAATTATTCCGGGAAAGGCAAGCTTCTCTTTTAAATAGTCAAGAAATGATGTCGAGCCTTTTAGAAATTTATTTATACGTTCGATATGTTTTAAGCATTTTTAAGTTGACAAAAGTGTTGCAAATATTAAAGTAAAGCATGCTTTTGGGTCCTAGACTACCCGAACTTAAGCATAATAGTAGCTACGCACGGACTCTCGTCACCTCGTGCGTACGTAGCCCCCACAAATAGAAGTACATACCCAATTAATTCACCTATGGGGACAATTACCTCTTACAAGGTTAGAAAGGAGACTCACCTCGCTCTGAAGCCTATATCCCAATTCAAGAATGCGCTAAAACGTCCAAATCGGAGCCGAACGATTCAAAAACTATTCAAATGGGGTAAGAACTAGTCAATACATGCTCAAGAGTTCATATTCTAATTATTAAACCAATTTCCCAATCCTAAATGCAAGGTTCCTAAAATTCATCCCCGAGCCCACGTGCTCGGATTCCAGAAATTTTTGAAGAAAGTTGTTACCCATAACCTAAGGATCAAGAATATATGATTTCTACTCCATTCCATAGCAAATTTCGTGGTTCGATCTTGTTTTTATCAAAACCTAGGTTTTCACCTAAACCCTTGATTTTCCCTAACCTTTACATGTTTATCTACCCATAATCTATGTATTTACCTCATTTTGTGTAGAAATTACTTACCTCAAAGTTCTAGGTGAAAACCCTCTTCCAAAAGCTCCAAAAATCGCATAAGAGGATGAAGTGAAATGAAATAATGGCCTAAATCCCGCATTAAAAGAGCTGGACACAGCCCTCTGATGTCGCATTTGCGACACCAGGTTCGCATATGCGACAAAAGCCTCGCAAATGCGAAGCCTGGGCTTCAGCTGTTGGGATCACAAATGCGACCACAACATCACAAATGCAACGCCTGCTGGGATCGCAAATGCGGCAAAAGTGTCGCAAATGTGAACACTGCCTGGGTCGGGCTTCATCGCAAATGCGAAGCCTCCATCGCAAATGCGAGGTTCGCATTTGCGAACAATCTCTCGCATTTGCGAGACCTGCAATTGGTGCCAAGAACACTAGAAAATCTGGTGTGCTTTCAACTCCTCCCATACGTCTGAAACACACCCGAGGCCCCCGGGACCCCGTCCAATCACATAACTCAATCTCATAACATAACACGGACCTGCTCGAAGCCTCAAATCACGTCAAACAACGCTAAAACCATGAATCACACTCCAATTCAACCTTAATGAACTATAAAATTTCAAACTTCTACTTTCGATTCCTAAACCTATCAAATCACGTCCGATTGACCTCAAATTTTGCACACAAGTCATATTCGACATTACAGACCTACTCCAACTTCCAGAATCGGAATCTGGCTCGGATATCAAAAAGTACACTTCCGGTCAAACTTCTCAAAAACCTTCAAATTTCTAACTTTCGCCAAATGACTCCAAAATGACCTACGGACTTCCAAATCCACTTCCGATCGCGCTCCCAATACCAGAATCACCATACGGAGCTATTACCAGACTCGAGATCCCAGAAATACATCGATAACATTGAAATGCACTTCAATCTAAATTTATGAAATTCTTCCAAATGCTAACTTCCAATATTAGGCGCTGAAACCCCCCGGGTCATTCGAAACCCAATCCGAACATACGCCCGAGTCCGAAATCATCATACGACCCTATTGGAACCGTCAAATCCCGATTCCGAGGTCGTTTACTCATAAATCAATCTTTACTCAATTCTTTCAACTTAAAGCTTCACAAATGGGAATTTCCTTTCCAAATCAACTCCGAGCTTCCCAAAATTAAATTCCGACCACGGGTACAAGTCATAATGCCTTAAGTGAAGCTGCTCATGGCCTCAAACTGCCGAACGACGTGCTAGAGCTCAAAACGACCGATCAGGTGGTTACATTCTCTCCCACTTAAACATACGTTCGTCCTCGAACGTGCTGAGAACTGCGCTGAGGTAGTCGGAAATCACTGTTTAGCACCTAGAGCACCTACCCGTGCTACCACAACTCAGTTGAGCACATTAGCTCAATCATATCTAAAGATATCCTCTTCCATTTAGGTAAATAAGCCTTAGAACCCTGTTCCAACATCCGAAATTCTCTGCCAGGCCTGCTTCCAACCTATGAAAGCCGTCTCAATTACTACACGATGCACCAATACAAGAATGCACACCTTTGCTGAATCCTCACCATGCACCACATCATTCACGGACCATAATAACATTCTCTGATCATAATAACCGACATCTCTCGAATCTGGTGCTCACAATGCAGCTCATGACATATATAAATCCTACCCCAACTTTTGCAATACCGCCACGACGAAAGAGGTGTGTAGAAATTAATAACCATCAAGCGAGTCAACAATTCATTGAGTCTCTACTCTTGACAAGAACCATCATCTCATTCTGAATCAAATAATTATATTTGCTCCTTGGTATACTTCATATAATCCGATAGTACTGATCCTAGATCCAATAATCTTGTCTCACCTAGACATGACCAAAAGTCTCATATGTTGCCACAATGTGCCAATATGCTACCAACTCGAACGTGATATATAAGGAAAACGAACTCCGGTAGGGACTACTCAACTCACGCAACTAAAATGAACTTTCCTCAGAAAATGGGAAGCAAAACACACAAAAATTAGAATATAGGGGACTGAACTCAACATCACACTGTTGCGGCGTGCAACCCAATTACAACTCACATATGGAGATACACACCGGGCTAAATTGCTCATTACTACTTAATACTGAATATCGTTCACAAGCACGCTAAGTGCATAATTCCATCCCTGGGGAGACATATAGCGCCATAAGCTACAAACTGAAGCACGACGGAGGTGCGATATATGATCTGAAACTCAAGAGCCATCCTATTCTCATAACACCATCGCTACGCGGAACCTCAACACATATAAAAATTATCAAGCCGTTTCACAACTCACACGGCACAACATAGCATTACATGAGATAACTGACGACGAAATAGCATCCAACGTCCGAATACTCCTTCATAAGGTGCGCTATGCTGAATGAAACATATCCGTCCTGATATAGAGCCCACATTCAAATTTAAATCCATCCACAGGCCTCAAGCTGATTTTGATCGTACCGTACTAGGCTAATAACCTTTTATGGGTCCGTATTAACCCCCTCTTTCCATAACACACAAGGTCAACCTTCATAACCGGAGCAAACCTCCACAGTCCACAACCCAATAAATCGAGTGCCCTTCAGGCATAAATTCTCAAATTAGCGATATTACCATAATCTTCATACTTGGTTTAAATTCCAATCAATCAAGTAACTACATGTCACACTTATACAATCTCTTCGTGGGTTACGCTCCGACGATCTTCCACACTAGGTAAAAAGTCTGCACATCCATACCACCGGTCACACTAACACTGTACAACAATTCAAGAATCCATAGCCAGGATGCAAAGCCTCTTTCACAAAACACCAATCTCAGGTGACGCTGAAGACAATACCAGCTTACTCTAACCATTCAAATCCCTTTCCTGCTCATCCAAGCTCGTGACATCCTTGCCAACACCGAACTGCACCCTTGATCCTCACTTATACCGCTCACTACACTTAACATGCCAATTTGCGATAGTACAATAATTTCATCGTAACTCCCGAACCACTAATAGGGTATACACTTCATCATAAAAAAACCCTTTACTTGAC